ATACGCCCTTTTTTGGTATTCAGAGGGCCGCTCAGGAAAAATGAACATGGTTCTGTGTTCCATGCATGTGCCCCTATATCATGCAAAAAACCGTTTTCAAAAAGCTTGGCATTTCCTGAAAGACCTTCCTGGTTAGCGATGGTTACATTCCCGGTCGTGTAAGTGACAAGGCGTAGTTCAAAGGCTCAGGCACGCTAGAGAAGTAATTCCCGTGCCTGGAGGTTGTATGTGGGTAGCTGCACACATTGCAGCAACTTCCCACCTTGAAAAACCCCGTTAAGGCCCCGGGGCGTTCGGTTTCAATCCAGGGCCGCCTGGTCAATCCAGGACCGCCCACCTCCGGAAGTGGTGCGTGGCTGGCATAACGTGTGAAATCAGCTAGGTTGATTGCCGTATCAACCGATAGAACGACTGACATCTCCAGAAAACTTGTTTGTACGTGCCTCTTTCCCCAAGCCAGCCTCCTTCACTGCTAGTGGGAAAGAGGGTTTTGTTAACGGCCTTGTCGACGGTTTTTCTCAGTTTTTTCTCCACTGTCGTTCCACTTCGCATCTCTATACTCAGTTTCAATCGCCATAATACCCCCTTATTGAGCCCGACTTTTGCCTTTAAAGAAGGAAGTTTAAGCGTTTCTTCTTGATCAAGTTAGTCGAGAACCTATGGGGCATCCCTGTTCAAGATTTTCAGCCGACTGTGGGCAATTCAGCAAAGTGGAACGATCGAAAAACCTTGTAGGCTTGCGAGCAGTTATCTTCCAATACTGTTCTGAGCGCGCCAAAGCAGACGATTTAAGCCACTGATGAGCGAAGGAATGTTCGCTTGATCCAAGTGGCATTGATGTTGTTGAATTTGTTAAAGCTAAAACCTAAGATCAAATTGGTACGCAAAGTATCTCGTCCATTAGCTCCCATTAGACGCCGCTGGCTAACTTTGTGAACTGCAACATCATTGTCGCCCCCTCAAGAGCCACAACAAAAGCTCATCTTTCTTGAAGTACCAATGCTTCCCTCAACCTTCGCTGGTAACTTTTCGAGAAAAAATCATTCATTTTGTAGATGAAGATATATCAATGCCCAGGTTAGAATCTCCGATGCTCTTGGGATGCCGATATTCGTTACGCGATTGCAATGGGAGGGCATACATTCAGTACACGATGGAACGCGGAGTTCCATAAGTTCGCTCCCTCGGGTTACTTTGATTCCGTGTGGGTCAAAAATCAGTGAGCACAAGCTCTTACTTTTGCTCCTCCTCTTTTGGCGGTTGTATTCCTGGACTAGGTTGAAGGAACTCTTGCTCAATCCAGTGTTTTTTGTCCGGCTTCTTTTTCTCAGAAATCTTGCGCTGTTTCTTGTCGCTGGAAAGAGCAGGTATCAGGAGCGGTAAGGCTGCGTCAAATAAGTACGCTTGTTCAATCATTCGTCCTGTGCCAGAGCACCTTTCTTCTTTTATAAGTGACACTAGCTGACGGAATCTGCGTTAATTGAGCAGCTTGTGAGTACCCGTGTGAGCATACCCTCGCGGTTCTTCTCCCTAACATATTCTCCTTTTTTACAACTACTATAATAATTAGTAAGCACATTCAACATTACAGGGTGGCTACTAAATATTGGCGCATGGTTTATTGACTATATTTTCACAAAGAAAAGCTATTAAACGCGGCAGACTGGAAGGAGGGACAAGCAGTGGCTAGCTACGCTGTCACTTTGCTCAACTTATACTGGGTGGCGCTATACCAACTTAGGCCGCTAGCGAATGATTTTATTTCGTGAAGGCACAAAGAATTTTTTTCCTTGAAAACGTAATAGTCAGGAGTTCTATGTACTTCGCAGTTTAGCTAGGGTGCGTGTCAACAGAATCGTCCGGAGACCCGCGCTAGTGGTCGGGCGCGGTGGCGGTGGACGAGTTTCTGTAAGCGTCATTCTATTGTGAATGTTAAAGGGACGCCAAGCCGACTCGTCCCGCCTTTTGCTAACAATCTCATCATGAAATCCGATTTGAATAGTGTCTAATACCGCTATATAGCACGGCAGTTAATAAATAACTCAAAATTATAATACATTGACTCTACCATGTAACGATGGGCACAGATTTGTGCATAGCATTACGACCTATTCATTTTAATACTTAACTAGGTTTGGTTCGCACCTAAGTAAAGGTCGGCGACCTTAATTAGGTGCAAACCAGACCTAATTAAGTACAAAAAGGTGCCGCTTCTACGAGAATAATCTTGGGAATCATGTGAATGAAGTAGACCATGAAGAATCATTGCTCCAATCGTCAAATTCGAATAAGGCCGCGCCCATCGAAAAACTGCCGCGTTACGACGCCGCGCAAGTGATCGCGCGCGACGGCGTCACTCCCCGGACGATGTTCGCCCTCTTAGCAAATAGGGGTACACAGTCAAGGTGGAGTTGATCAAAACAAGTTCGCTTCTCAAGCTCGATCTCTACTTACTCGTACTTATAATCACAGTGAAAAAAGAGCACGATCAATATTCGGAGCATTCATTTATTGATAGTAGAGCCAGCCTTTGCCTGTGCCCGGCCCTGGCCGACACAGTGACGTCACCAACACGCGTACGCGTGCGCGCCGCCTGTGAGCTTTTCCATGGAGTCAGGAAGACAATGATATCCTGGAGCTGATTAAAGCCGACGCTGTAAGGCAACACGATGTTCCCGCTAACGAGCAACACCACTCCTCCCCGATCACAAGGATCAGGAGACAGTACTTGTCCATTTTGCAGCAAAATTTTTAAAGGCCACAGTTATTGTCAATAAAGTGTTGCAGTTACACAATAAGTCCGACCTTTCTGAAAAATTTAAAAAAACAATAACAGCTCCTACTAATTATAACCATGACTTCTCAACAGGCGATCCTCGCTCCAATGCACTAGGTTCTGGAGGAATCAATCTAAGTTTTCGATATTATTTTCAGACGACAAACCTTGACTCTCGAAGACATTACTATTCGAAACAATAACTTCCGACTCTACATGGATTTCCTCGTTAACAAGTGTAATTATTCAAAAGTATGAAATAATTCTTAGGGCCGACAAGGTCTTTGAAGACAGGCTTCAACCTGTCTTAATAACCAAAGCATTTATCGATCAGAAAGTCGTTGATGTAGTTGAAGAAGTTGTGGTCGGTGAGGGAGAGGTCTAGCAAATACGGTAGGCGAGAAAGAGTCTCGCATCTCCATTCCTGTGACCGCGCGTTGCCTTCAAGAAGTGGGTTCTCTGTCTTGACTAGAGCAGGACGCATGAAATTTAGGAGGAGTATCTAGCCAAATTTCCAAATGTACACTTGTGCTGTTACTTCTCAAATATGTAAGCTGTGCTGAATTACTGATTGCTGCAAAGAACATCACACAGTCGGCTTGACCATCTTTGGACATATGTTGATTTACAGGGTGGTCCAAAATTATGAGGACCGCGTGCGCGCGCGGTCATATCCACTTTTTTCCGAGTCGCTCCATTTTCATCTCCTTTTCTGTGCACTATGTGAGAGGGTACAATGTCTTCTTCCTAATGAAACCAAATTTCATGCAGTTCTCAAAACTAGTGAAATAACAACATCTCCTTACGTCAGTCCTCAAATTGAACTCACTAAGGGCTCTGGCACGTTACATCTAGCGGCAGTCTAACGTATCAGGAAGCTCTTATGGGCAACAGTTCAACTCTTCAATAAGTTTGGAACCACCACAGATGGAAAATTCGGAGACTCGAAAGTTACAGTTACCACCAGGACAATTATCAGATGCAGAAACTAGCTCTCCCCTTGTCGACTTTCGTACTCCCAAAATGAAAAAATTGATGTGAAAACCCAGCCAGACACTCTAAAGACTCCACATCTATAGTGGATAGGAAAAGTAGAACCATTCGAGTAGCTCTTGGGACTTCACAGGACGAGCACCCAAGAATAAAGCAAAAATTCTCTAAAAGCGATTTTTCGAGTTCGTTGCTTTCGAAGAATTGTTACAATGGAACCTTCCATCTGATAGCTCTAGATTTCTGTATTTCACACCCTGGATGCAAGCGCAAATAAATGCCCCACAAAAGCTTTGATTCCCTGAAGAAAGCAGAGCAGAAGGCCTGGAAACATTTTGACACGCCTCAGTTGCGTGCCACCGCACGCGCCATCCCCTTCATCTGAAGGCTCGTGTAAACGCGGCAGGTGGCAGATCTCAATTCTATTCTGGAATTACTTTGAGATAAGAGTTAGATATGAGTTACAAACACTTCTCTGAAGTTTGTTTGTTCATCGAAGCCTTACTATGCCCGTCTTTTAAAGGCGACTTCCGGTATTAAACTGGTGCTAAGAGCGCTTCGCAGTGATAGCTTAGCTGCGGAGCGACCCCAAAGTGGAGAGGGAAGCGAGAGAACTCTTTGGGAACGCTGAACTTAAGGCCTTAACCTTCAAAAAGGTCGGATGTGGTACGACGGCAAGACAGGGCGATCAGAGAGGTCAAAACACGCGAGAGAGAACGTCGTTTGAGAGAGCACGCTGATCTCTACATCAATGCACGCTGATCTCACCACATCTCGCGGTGGGTGGGAAGCGTTCGATGGTTGGAGGCCCGTAAGGATTAGCGCCCTAACCGCGCGATTTTCGCGACCAAGTTGAAGTGATCTAGGTAGGTACGGGTCTTACAATTTCCCTCGCGGTATCCTTCCTACTAGTCGGGCTAATCGGGTTTGCCTTTTAACGACACAATATCTTGGTCTTCATAATTTTGGCTCCAAGTACCATGCTTAGAGAACTTACAGGCAACCATTACTAGTGCTCATCAAACTTGCAGCTCCGTCTGTTATACGAGTAGTCCACTTCTTGTCGCACTTTACAGCCTTACAACACTGTCCACTGAAGGGTTTTTTCGATACACTAAGGACGTGCCGACAACACCTCATACACCGATTTAGTTGCTGCTCGCTAAAGGCGGTAGGAAACCAATTGCTCGGTTTTTTTTGATTTCCGTAACGCTTTCAATTCAGTAAAGTAGTCGAAGTGCCCAGACTTAGACCGTATAAGGTTTTACACAATAGTACGTCGTCTTTCTTCACAAACTCCTTTCCTTTAGAGTCAGAGTCAGCAGAAGTGCTGCCGCGGCCCTCCTCAGCTTGACGGTCGTGTTCGCCACGGGGGACCCTTTGGATTCAGTGGTGGACCTCTGCTTCCGTATGATCTGGGCTTATATGAACAGTCAGTTTCATTTTCTATGGTCGCCGTATGAAGTTAACTTAAAGGACTTAGAATCGAGCTTGGACTAGTAGGAAAAATACTTGCAGGTAATGACATCTGTGTCGCAAAAACTGCGCGATCAGGGTTGCTAAACGAGCCTGCGCGCTATCGACCCGTTGCAACGCTCCCCACCCACCGCGTTTGATATGGAGCTCAGCGTGCTCTCTCCAACGACGTGCACTATCGCGTAAATCGTCTTCCCTGATCGCCCTGCCTCGCGGTCGTACCACATCGGACCATAGAAGTTAAGGTCTTAATTTTATCGTTTGCGATTACTTCTTTTGAGTTCTTCTCCACTTACAAATCATTCTGCAGCTTAGTGATAACAACGATGCGCTTTTATACACCACGGTTATCCTGGAACTCCCCTTTAATGGGAAAAACGCTTACGGTTTGACGATCTTTTCACGCTTCATCTTACTCTTCTTATGATGTCGACGCTTCTCGCCTGATTCTTTCTTTCTATGTTTGTCTTTCATTTTTCTCGATGCTCGACTTCCTTTCTTTGACGACTTCTTGCTAGAGCTTCCTCCCAGTTTATGATGTTTTTTATTTTTGGAAGATTTTTTCGATGGCTTTTGAGACATTCCTCGTTTTTGTTTACTAATTGTGCCAGACGGTCGAGCTGAGCCGCCACGTTTACCACGCTTGCTGGACCCTCCTGAACAAACTCAAGCTCAAACAGACCTCACTGGATAGGCTCTCTCCACTATTGAGACCGCTTCCCCTTTCTCATGCACCTCAATAAAGATGCGTGCGAAAACAACAAAGGGATACACTCCTTACAGGAGCGACCTGAATAGTGGAAAGAGCGTCACGGTCACTAATTGCAAAAGTACTAGGTGCACTCATTTCCGAAAACCAGATGCTTGTCGAGTGCAGACCACACAACACAAGTGACGACGGCCTCCACAAAATGTAAATGTTTTCTGCCAATGAAATGATTAGCCGGTTGCAGTTGTATTCTATCAGTTGTCACTGATTACAATTAGCCTGTTGCATTTGTATTCTATCAGTTGTCACTAATTACAACTATCATTTACCAACTATCAGCTATCACTATGAACCACTAGTTACCAGATTTACTTGGAGGCCGTCGTCACTTGTGGTGTGTGGTCTGCACTCGACGCGCTCCTGGTTCTCGAAAACAGGGTATAGTTATTGTGTAAGCTTACGCTTTCTTGGAGCAACCAGCGATCCCTTCGTGGATCCCTTTGTAGATCCTTTCGTAGATCCTCTCTTAGATGATCCTTTCTTGGAATCTTTTCTAGATCCTCTTTTTGATGCTTTCACAGACCCTTTTCTTGAACCCTTTGATGAATCCTTCAATGCTTTCCTTGATCCTTTTATCGATCCATGTCGGCCTTTTTTATCTTTCTTCTTTTCAAGAGGCTCTTTCTTTTTCTGGCTGCTTTTCTCTTTCTTCTTACTCTTCTTACTTTTCTTACTTTTCTTACCTGAATATTTGAGTTTCTTTTGATAGGATGTCACAGTTCTCAGAAAATGTGGTGATAGTTGTTAGAGAAACTATTGAGAAGCAGATAAAACAGTGAGATAGTCATAGTCATAATTATAAGAAAACTGTAATAAAATTCGTCACGTTGAAGGCTAACGAACCATTCTGTGTTATTTTATGTTTCAATATTTTTCATTCCCATGTTTATTTTAGGTTTATACTACACGAATGCCGCTTCGACCCGCTTATCATAGCGGTTCGCCTTGCCAACGATGTGCAAATGTTTGTTGATCACAAAAAAGTAACAGGCAGGTTCTCGCGGAGGCCGAGATCCGATGTGACCCCTTCTTATGGAGCGTCTTGGTTCACTGCTGCAGGTCCCCTTCTGAAGTTCTCCTGCCCGAAAACGCTGGAACCGCCTGGGTGTTGGCGATTGGGTACTACGTTTCCTGGAAAGGCTGGCACAAGCTTCATTGATTAAGCTGCTGTTCTTCTCTTTTTGAAGTCGAAGGGCACACACGCACAGCACAGTTGCATTCAAAAGCTTTTTCTCGCCATCTTCGAAGGAATTTAGTAAAGCAAATAGGCATTTTGAGATAAATAGATGACTGATTGCACCGAGGTTTCCTCTTTCGCAGTAGTGACTTTCACCGCCATAGTTTCTGAAGTAGATAGCTGGCAGGGAGAAAAGGAGAGCGATCGACATCCATATTGCAACAACCTAATAGAACAGTCGAATTAACCACATTTGGAGCTTAAGGCCCTTTCAAAGTTAGTTGCAGCAGCTGCAATGTTGTACGTCAGCACCAAGGTGTTGTCTGGCGCCTTCTCGTCCGCTGTGCTCTCTCGTCACACACTTTTGTGCCCCATTCTTACTTGCCTTAGCACAGCTGCATTGCGAAGGTGAGCAAATCTTCAACCTGGACATTTTCGACAAATCGGGAGTTTCCGATGATCTATCAAAGATTATACAGAGGACAGGAAAATTATAACAATTGGGTTGAGCAAGCAGTGCGGCTTTACGATAACCACTTATAACTGCTATGTCCCAACAGTCAAGGTGCTTTGTATTGTTCGAAAGAGGAGAATTCTCTGAAGTGCTGTAATGCGACAGTGATGAAGGGGACCGTTGTTGGCTACAGTGTTGAAACTAAAGGACAAAATGGCGAAATATAATTCAGATAATCGCGTGTTCCAAACTTTTAAAGAGTGGCTGTGATAGGTAGGCCTTCATTGTATCCTAATGAGATCATCGTCCACTCCATTTGAACCGTGTCAATACTTCATCTACCGATTAAGAAAAGCAGTTTAGTTGAAATCCAGCTGGAGAAATTGGAAATAGCGCCTTTCTTCCAATCTCCCTATATCGTGATCTAACAGTCTCTGAATCTCGTCTTCTCTAGTGATTCCAGTCAATACGGGTTACAAGGCTTCTGTCAACCAAAGGGTGAGAGCGTAGCTGGAAAAGCACACACTTTGTGTCTTATTGGGACTAAGCCTTTTGAAGAAGATAAAGAAAGAGGAGATGCTGTGATAGTGTGCACTTGTGAGAGCTCCCAGACATCACTACAAAACGCTGAACCGCCAAGGCTCACGGTTGACAGATGTCCTGAGACCGTCAAAACGTATTTAATCTTTTCAGCTAATCTCAACCTCCTATGTAATCAATTCGTTATCGCTTGGTCACCTAATTTCAAAAAATTTCGAGCAGAAACGCGGCCTTACGCTGTCATCTATGGATCCCTATCTCGAATTAGGCGTGCTAAGGATTTGACGTGCCGGTCGCGGCACTTGATAGAGTTGCATGGCGCTCACGCCCTTGGGGGGGGACATCATAAGAGAGCCGACGGTAGGTGACACTTGGACAAAGCCCAGGATAGCGGAGAAGCGCAAGGAAAACACACACATTGCTCCCTTCCAGGCAGGGTCAACCGTTACGTTGGACCGATATTGGAGCGACGTTGGACCGATGTTGACCGCTCTCCGCGCCGGCATTCACTCTCGCCACCCGCGAGCCGTCTGTGTCTCCGTGCGTACGTTCACTCTCGGCATTACTCTCGTCGTCGCGTTGGACTTTGTCCAACGGACGGTTGACCCTGCTTCAGCCCAGAATCCCTTACCTGCCTGAGGTTTAGTCCCAAGCACAGCAATTGGCTAACTGACTTGAATGTCCCCCAACCCCCATCTCTCTTCAACGACATGAGCGCCAGTTGCATATATAAGCTGGTTCCAGCATATTTATAGTTAGCTGCTATCCAGTAGACTAGGTTAGAAACAGCTCATCCACACGACTTCTATCAAATGGAAACGACCACGCCAAATCCATACACACGCCTAACGGACGGCGAGATATGTGGGTGAGTTGGGGTGGGCGTGTCACCGGAAGTGACGTGCACTTGATAGAAGCTATGTGGATAAGCTGCTTCCAACATACATCGCTGGATATCAGCAAAGCATGCTGGCAACAGCTTATCCACGCAACTTCTATCAAGTGCACGTCACTTCCGGTGACACGCCTACCCCAACTTTCGGATATCGACTGTAGATCCAAAGTTCCTTTAAATTTATTTGTTTTGAACGATATAGTTTCTTCATTTTCAGTGCATGTTTACTTTAACCTACATACATACATTAAATGTAGGCCCTTTATCAGGGCAATCCCAGTTGGGAAGACAGAGAAAATTTAAAGGGATTTTCGTCCCCCAGCCCCTTCGGGGAGCATCGCATACGGCCATGGACTGTACATCACACACTTGTGCTCGTTTTGCTATGAACTATTCTTATCAGTTCCCTTATCAAAAGCAGATCTCATTTTATGCCATGCGCTCGTCCTGACACGGTTCTTCTTCGAAGCTCCGCTTTCCGCACACGGCTTCCGATTAGCTGAAATCCTGTTGATTGGATTACAATCTCGAGGATACACA